AAAGTGACTGACTCTGTTAGAAATCTTATAATGGGCCATGTTTGGATCTTCCAACCGTACAATAATCCAAACATAAACCTCAAAAACAACACAAAAATGGGTCACTGGGCATAAAACCAAGCTTCTGCTATGGCCATTCCAGTCCTCTGACCTGAACCTTATAGAAAATGAGTGTGGTGAACTGAAGAGGAGAAGCACCATCATGGAGCTGGGAATCTGAAGGGTCTGGAGAGTATATATATGTAATATGAAATCTTATTGCACAATGCCAGTGAAGTTGCAACTCTCACTGGCCAATGCCAGCCAGCCATCTTGAGAGGGAACGTTTCAGAATCTTCCGACTGAATCAACGGCACAGCAGACCTGAGCAGTGAACACAGCAGCCTATGCCATGTCTCGTTCCCGTCTCTCAAGGAACTGAGGTTACGACAGTAACTGGAGACGTTCCCTCTTGAGAACGGTCTCTCGACATGGCGTCAGAAGCTGACGCTTTTGGACACTGTATAGAACAACGCCGTGGGAACAGTGAAGAAAAAAGCTCCGCCTTGGCGGAGCAAACATGAACAGTTCTTGCAAAGCACATAGAATAATCCCCAACCAATCATAGACGACCTTACGACATGCTCCAAGGAGACTGGATGTATATTCCCGCTCAGGGATCCAGTCGGGATATTCAGAATCCATGTCCGGAAGCAGGTCTTCTTGTTGAGAGAGATGCTGCGCCGTCACCTTAAAGTCTAGGACGTTGTCAGTCACCTCAAAATGCATGTATATATAAGTATGTAATATAAAGGTGAGGCCGGGCACAATAATAATAGTGTACACACTTAGCGAGCGGCCGCAGCCAGCGCCAGTACCAACCACACAAAGTCATAGGCAAACCAGTGCACATAGCAAGGACAGAGACGGACCACCGGCTTGTGTCCGTCCCATCCTATGCCGTAACACAGCGTGACTGCGCAGACACGATAACACTGAATATCACAAGGCTCGCTCCGCTTGTACGAAGGGGAGCACCGCAGTCTGGGTACGGCGATGGCCCCGCCCCCGATTTCTACCTATACGACCTAGTCGAACCCACCTGCATAGTCAGCGACTAGCAGTTGCAGGTAGAATCATGGGTCGTACTCACCGACAGGACCTGCGATGCTAAGGACCACACGTCCAAATTGTAGAATCTGGCGAAGGTATTCTGTGAAGACCATCCAGCCACCATACAAATGTCCACGCCCATGAGGAGGCAATTGCCCTCGTCAAATGGGCTCTGACACCAATAGGACATTCCATACCCCGGCTAGAATAGGCCAAGGCAATCGCATCTACCACCCAATGTGATAGTCGTTGTTTGGAGAGCCAGCGCACTCAGCACCAGAGCTAGATCCCAGGATGGCACAGTGGGAGGACAAGAGGGTCTTAGCTGTCTCGCACCTCTCAAAAATCTGATCACCAGATCGTGTCTGCCCACCGAGCGCCCATCAATAGTGGCGTGAAACACTGAGATAGCTGCAACATAAACCTTAAGAGTGGAAGGCATACTGCCGCCGTCCAGCCGCTGTTGCAAAAATTCCAGAATGTCAGACACGGGACAGCTCTCTGGGTCACTACCATTCGATTCACACCATTTCACAAACACTGCCCATTTAAGAGCATACAGGCGTCTCGTAGAAGGGGCTCGTGCCTCCATAATCGTGTCCATCACGCGGCGAGACAATGAGTCCGAGTTTACCAGTTCCCGCACACCATCCACACATGAAGTTTCCACCATTCGGGTTGGGGTGCCATATCGAGCTGCCTGTCTGAGATGGGAGGTCCCGAACCGTTCCCAGATCATTCTCACTGTCCCGGGGTTCAGTCTCCATTCTCCGTGAGGAATCCCGTCCCTCGATAGCATATCCGCGCTGCTGTTCAGTCAGCTGACCAAATGGACAGCAGATGGCGATCGGCCCACAGTAAAAGGCATGCTGCTTGTTCGTAAAGGGCTCTCGAGTGTACCCCGCCCTGGCGGTTTATGTATGATACCACCGACATGTTGTCCGTGTGAATCAACACGTGATGCTCCCGGACTTGTGTGATGAAACTCAGAAGCGCCAAAAAGACTGCTCTCAGTTCGAGGCGATTTATGTGTCACTTTTTCTCCGACTCAGTCCAGTAGCCCGATGCGGGTACGCCGTCGCAATGAGCTCCCCAGCCCGTCGTCGATGCGTCCATCGTGACCAGACCCAGCTGGGCGCGACGTGGGTACAGGTCGGGGTTTCGCCATGGTTTCAGCACGTTCAAGCACCTTCGAGTGACCACAACGTGGGCACAGCCCGTTTTCCAAGCCCTTCTCGGTACCTGTGTTTTCAGTCATATCTGGATGGAGCGCATATAGAGCAGACCGAGGTGACACACCGACACGGCCGCCACCATCCGTCCCAAGAGCCTCTGATATTCCTTCAGTGCCACGGAACGTCCCAGACTGAAAGCATTCAGAGCAGACATTAAATCTCGTATGCGCTCCTCACCAAGATGCGCCCTCATCGAGACCGAGTCCAATTGCACCCCCAGATACGTGATTGACTGGCTGGGGCATAACACGCTCTTTTGTATGTTCAGGCAGAGATCTAAACTCTCCAGATGAAGTAACAGAAGCATGTTTGTGGCTGTTGAGCACATTCTCCGAATGGGCCAAAACCAGCCAATCATCCAAATAATTCAAGATGCATATTCCGCTCGCTCTCAGAGGGGACAGCGCCGCATCCACACATTTCATAAACGTTTGCGGTGCCAGCGCTAGCCCGAACGGCATAACCGTGAATTGATATGCTGTGCCTACGAATGCAAATCTCAGAAAAGCGCCTGTGTCAAGGGGCGATTTGGATATGAAAATATGCATCCTTCAGGTCCACTGAAATAAACCAATCTTTGGGGCTGAATCTGCGCAAGGATCTGTTTCAGCGTTGTCATTTTGAAAGCGCGTTTGTATAATGCATGGTTGATGGGTCTCAGGTCTAGGATCAAACGGAGACCGCCACCTTTCTTTGGAATGACAAAGTAGCGGCTTTAGACGACTTCTATCGCGCATTTTGCGAGGAGGTTGAGAACCTCTTGCCTCCGCACCGACTCGTTGCGTGCCGCTACTGTCAACATGATCACGCCATTGAACCAAGGTGGTCTGCGCTAAAACTGAAGCGTGTAGCCGTTCTCTATAACGTTCCGCACCCTATCCGAAATGCTGGGGATGGACCGCCATGCGTTCGCAAAAGGGCACAATGGACGGAGCGCCTCGCCCTATGTATTCTGAGTAACACCGCTGTACGCCGGGGATGCGTTCAGAAAACTCACTGGATGAATGGGAGCGCTGTATGGTAGCGTAGGTCGCGCATTGCCTATTAACAGGAAGCGCAAGCCCTCCCCTGAATGTATGAGTGACACAGACGGGTGTATGTTCGAAGTGTCGAGAGCGAGCCATGGCCGTGAGCATCGCCGGTTACCCGGGGATCTGCGAACCTGACTTTATTACCGGCTCCCTGGCCGGCGCCGAGTGTGAGTCACTGGAGGAGAAGAAAAAGGCTCTTTTTGTGAGGGTGTAACAGACTTTATTGCATTCTGAACAGTCACAACATAAACATTCTCGCAGTCACCTGCAACCGCTAAGGGGCCCTCGTAAGAACATTTCAGATGCTTCGCGGCGGGCCCGCCGCTTTGCGAACTCCTCCGTACTCCCCCATCAGCAACAAGGCTTTTGCTCCGACGAAGGAGCGCCCCCGGGGCGGTTTCCTTTCTTGAAGCTGTGTCGCGCCTTCGGTGCCCTCTGCCGCAGTGTTTTGGTGGGAGCAGCAGGCTCCGGATCTGGCGCCGATGAAGCTGAAGGAGCCCGCTTCAATGGCCGGTTGGAAGCGGACAAAGATCTACTTCCGTGCTGCAGCCTGGCGCAGCAGGAAGTGGCTCATTGCTTTGGAGCATTTTTGTGCTTCAGAGAAGCGCTCCGCGATAGCCTCCACATCGTCTCCAAAGAGGCTGGAGGGAGACAAAGGAGCGTTGAGCAGCACCTTCCTGTCCGCGTCTTTCAGCTCTGTGAGCATCAACCACAGATGACGGTGGAGCACCACCATGTAGCCCATGCTTTGTCCGATCGCCTGGGCTGTCTTCTTCGTGGCCTTTAATGCGAAATCCGTCGCTGCGCGAAGATCCTTAAAGGCCTCGGGATCCGCTCCACCCTCGTCCAGGAATTTCAGGAGCTGTGCCTGAAAAACTTGGAGCACCGCCATTGTGTGAAGTGCTGAGATCGCTTCCCCTGAGGCGGCGTATGTCTTGTCCGCGATGTGAGTGGTCAGACGGCAGGGCCTTGACAGCAGCGAAGCACCTGCCTTCAGAGAGGCAGACGAGGGACAGAGGTGCGCTGCGATGGATTCCTCGATGGGCGGAATGCATGTATATCCATGGGCTTCCGCCCCGTCGACTTTGGTGAGTATCTCCGACCCGCCGCCGTGGGTGCGAGCCGACTGGGGCGCAGCCCAAGCCTTAGCGAACTCGTCATGCAGGTCTGGAGAAAAGGGGCTCGCTTCCGTGGAGTGGCAGCTCGGCGGCCCGAGTGAAAGAACCATGAATCCAGCTCGCTCTTAGCTGGTTCATCGGGGGATTCCCACTCCAGACCTAGATCGCTCACGGCCCTGGTGAGAATCCGGACGAGCTCATTCCTGAAACGCGGCCTGTCCCTCCACTTCAGAGTGCTCCTCCGGAGTGTGGGCGAAGCACCAGGGGTGGGTCAAAGGCTCTCTTCTGCAAAAAACACCGGAGAGCGGGGGGGTGAAACACGCCTTTCAGCGCGGTTGCCCATGTGCGGCTGCAGTCCCACCAGCGGCTCACTGGCGGCAGTGGGACGTTGCCGAGAGAAATCACTGAGGGCGATGTTCCTCCGGGCCCTAAGCACCCGCACTGAGAATTCCTCGCAGTGCGGGCAGCCCGACCCAGCGAATGCTGCCTCCGCATGGGCGAGACCCAGGCACAGGATGCAGAACTCGTGGGTGTCCGGGGCCTCGATAGGCCCTGAATACAGCGTGCAAGCTTTCGACATGCTGGAACGCAGAGAGTCAAGTCAAGTCAAGTCACCTTTATTTATATAGCGCTTTTAACAATACAGATTGTGTCAAAGCAACTGAACAGCATTAATTAGGAAAACAGTGTGTCAATAATGCAAAATGACAATAGTAAACACAAATTTTTCAGTTAAAGACAGTTCATCATTGAATTCAGTGATGTCAACATCCAGCTCAGTTCAGTTTAAATAGTATCTTTGCAATCATTTGCAATCAAGTCAACGATATCGCTGGAAATGAAGTGTCCCCAACTAAGCAAGCCAGAGGCGACAGCGGCAAGGAACCAAAACTCCATCGGTGACAGAATGGAGAAAAAACCTTGGGAGAAATCAGGCTCAGTCGGGGGGCCAGTTCTCCTCTGACCAGACGAACCAGCAGTTCAATTCCAGGCTGCAGCAATGTCACATTGTGCAGAGGACTCATCTGGTTCCTGTGGTCTTGTCCCGGTGGTCGTCTGAGACAAGGTCTTTACAGGGGATCTGTATCTGGGGCTCATCTAGTTGTCCTGGTCTCCGCTGTCTTTCAGGGCTGTGGAGGTCCTTTCTAGGTGCTGATCCACCATCTGGTCTGAATACGTACTGGATCTGGGTGACTGCAGTGACCATCTGATCTGGATACAGACTGGATCTGGTGGCTACGGTGACCTCGGAATAAGAGAGGGAAATCCTTCTTCTTGCGTCTTCTCCACAGCTGTCTTGAGTAGGACTTTGCATGAAAAAGGAAGATTCTGAGCTTATGCCACCAAGATGGCGCATTATAGTAGGTGGGGGAGTGAATGTACAGCGCTCTCTTCCACCCTCAATACCACGACTGAGGTGAGACCCTTGAGCAAGGCACCGAACCCCCAACTGCTC